TATTATTACCTTAAACGATCCGTCGCCAGCTTCGTATCCATAAGTGTAAGAACCGTCCTCGTTGATTTTCCTGATCTGCTTCAGAATCGCCACTTGTTGATTATTGTTATTATTATTATTGTTATTATTGTAATTGGTCTCGGACGTTAACTGATCGGTTAAATTGGAACAACCGGCGGTGGCCAAGCAGAAAATGGCCATCAGCCACGGTGTCATTTTATCGGTAACAGTCAATTTTATCTACAAACAAAAATTGCAATTCGATTTAATTAATTAAACATGATTTATTTCACTCGTATCGCGAACACATTTACTACGCCGCGCACTGTGAAGCTTCACTAATTATTTAATCACGATTGACGTAGAACTCGGGACGAGGGAAAATAATTGAATCGCGAGCACCTTTCTTCACACTTTCCTTATTAGAGAATTTCAGATGACCGCGACTATCGAGAATAATTACTAGTGTATCGAGTGTTAAGTATATACCTTCCAAGTGGAGAACATGTTACCGCATAAGCGGTGAACGTTAAAGTAACACGTCCTAAGTGCAAACCCACTTTTATATATCCTTTTTCTCCCTCTCTCTCTCTCTCGATCCTCCTTCCATTCATCCTATCCTTTTCCCGATTTACACACCTTCCACTTGACTCAATTCATTCAATCGAAAACCGACGGATGAAATGAATTTATCCATTGGTAATTCTAATGATTTAAACAGAGCCATGAAATATTAACTATATTTTATTGTAACAATGAATCGAAATTCGCAGGAAGTCTGATTAGGAGAAAATAAATGAAAGGGGTTGCGGCCATAATAAAATTGAGGGGTATTAAAAAGAGATTGTTCATAATAATCTTGTTGGGGAGACAGACGAAAAGTGAAAGTAAACGTGAGAATTCGCACGGAGATAGCAGATAAAAGACGTAGTAGAGACAGTACGCTTGTAAAATGTGTAACAAAACAATAGTTCCCATAGTGTGTGCAACTCTAGTATTGTCGTGTTGCGGGTATTCCAGTTCTCTTCTCCTTTAAACAATGCAGGGAACAATAACGCAGGACACTTGTTACATAACTTCCTACCTGCGTGTTTCGTGTGTTCCAGGTTCCATAGTTCATTATCTCCTTTTCTTTCCTTTTTTTGATAACTATCTACGTACCATAGTACTGCATACGCTTCTCCTTTACATCCTCTTTAATGTCATTAATAAATCCGATGGTTATATCTCTTTAAAGAATCGTTCTTTATTTGTCAAATAACAACGCGTTTAATTACATCTTAATAATATCGGACATCGTAGAGGATTTATGTACAGCAAATCTACCTAGTGTTACTAATTATATACAAATTCGACGGTGAATTAATTGTTTTAATTAGAAGCTTGCGAGGTCTTGGAATGAACCGAGCTAGATCTGATCACATTCTTCTCGTTATCACCGTAACCGTTCTCCTCTTCCTCTAATTGGTACGGACTTAGACTAAATGGCTCAGTTTGCACTCCCACGTCCTCGTAATCTAATTCCAATCCATCTTGTTCGTAAATGGCGTCGTAACTCCTGGGCCTTGCCACCGAAGGTATCCACGGCTGCGGCACTCCCTTGCCGAAGAATAGGAAAACTGCCGCCGTCGTTAACAGCACGACGGAAGCCACGCCAAAGACCAAGCGCCACGATCCGGCGATCTAAAATAGCAGTCGTTTTCAATCATTTTTAATCTAACACTGACAGTCGTTTTTATTTCAATTTCTGTCATCTTCCTGTGTCATCAAGATATTCTAAGTTAACTTACGGATCCGTGTAGGGCTTGAGTGACGAAGTAATTAGCTGCTAGCAAGCCTGCGGCTCCTAACGTGGAGCATAACGCGCATGCAGCAGCGGCACACGCTGGAGATTCTACCGGGGCCAGGTCGGCTATGGCTGCGAGGGCACCTGCAGGTGCGGTACCAGAGACCAGCAACGCGGCGATTCCTAGCCAGGCTGCGCCTAACGCCTGGCAACCCGCGTACCCAGCCACGAACAGCAAAGCGGCTGGAATAAAATGAGCTGAAAAAGAAATTTTATAATTAGATGTAAATATGCAAAATAGAAATATAGAGAATATCGAAAGCAGAGCATATTGGAATATTTAATGAAACTTTTTTTAAATCTGTATTATAAATATTTCATTTTGCATAAAAATCCGCAGTCTAATTATAAGAGATCTTTTGATGAACTGCAATGTTCTTGAATGATTCATAAGAATTTGGAGTCTGTTTATTATACTTGCCAGTATAGACTACCAGTTTTCTCGCAGTGGTAGTCGACACGATCTTCGATTCTCTGACATGATCCACGAGCAACCCACATGTCAGGGCTGCCATGAAGTGACCTATATGCGGCAGAGTAGTCAGAACCGAATCCTAAAACAACATACAATCGCTAATCGCTACCTGACCCTTAAAAAACCGGGTGCAGTACATCTCTGCAACGAGCTGTTAAGTATTAACATGTTCCGTGCCGCGCGGATTGAGAGATAAGTTCCTTTTACATCGATAATAAATATAACATGAAATACGATCTTCGTTTGCATGTAATAACCACGTGACTATACGAAAAGTATTAATACATGCAAACAGGGATGCAAATGAATTAGTCAGTTTTATTATAAATAATCCTATTTCGTGTATATATTGTTTATTATAATAATAAGAAGTTCTTAATATCTGGAAGAATTAAACTCACGTTCGCCGTAGAGAAACCGTAAATGAGTTTCAGATATTTAGTCATTCCAAGAGCTAATGTAGCGTCACCCCATTGGTTCCCCATAGTGGCGACAGCCGAGGCCCATACCGGGACCGATCTCAATAATTTCCCCCATGGGATAACCGCTGCCTAATTGACACCAAGTCGATTATTAATTAATTATCCAAGTTTCTTGATATTAACTTACGTTGGTGTCGTGTTGATAAGATTTCGGAGTGTCCTTGACAAATCTTCCGAAAGCGAAGTACCAGCATACAGCGATTAGGACTAAACCGTAGCAAAGGGAATCACGACCTAGACTTCGCACCACAGCAGTGCCGATCCAGCCAGTTAAACAATAACCAACGCTGACAGCTATGAAGAAATACTTTTTAATGTTAATAATTAATTAAACTGAGATATAGCGTGTGATTAAAATTGTACCGGCGTAACAACTGAAATACCAGCTTCTGTGTGTGCTCTTGAACCAGGTCATGGCTAGCATATGAGCAGCAGGCATAGTCGCTCCCTGAAATTAGATCAATAGAAAATGAATCAAAATATTTAATTAATTAATTAATTAATAACTCACAGTGCAGAGTCCTTGAAGCAATCGTAAAGCGACATGTGAAGGGCTCCTCCAAGCAGCTGGTACCAGTAGCGATGCTAAACAAGCACTCAACACGGCTCTAGAAAAGACCATAGAAGGTCCGGATCTTCCCCATACGAGGCAACCCCCTAAGATAGGGCCAGCCACTTGACCCCACAAGAATGCCTCGCGCATTATTGATTCCGCCCTCTCCTCCGGTGGCAGCTGTCACAAATGTACAAACAAACTCTCTATAAATAAAATGCACATAAATTAACTATGTAAATAATTCTAAGTGAATACCTCTGTTAAAATGATTTCATGGTCCTCGGTTCTATTTCTGCTGCTGATGTTAACCAGCATCTCGCAGTGCCACGATGTATCGATGATCGCATGATTATCTTTTTGATTCGCTAATAACGCCACCGAAGAGCTCACTTCCACTGCACCACATAAAGCGAATCCTACGGAGACCAATGCGGCTACTATATGCCTTGCTC